AAGATTGTGAGAGTAGTACGTTCTAGAAACTCTATATATGAAGGACATTATCACTAGAATAACTGGTGAGGTAAGTGATCTGAATACCAATCGAACCATATGGCTTGAATGGCTGGATTGCACCAAATGAATACAATTCTTGTTTTATATTGGAATAGTGCTTCTTTTAAGCAACAGAGGCATTCATTGCTAGATCATCCTATTGTCTTATTGTAAACCTGTCTCATAAAATCATCATTTCTGCTTTTGAAATAAACCTCTCCCAATTGATTGTACAGGCAGAAAATGTATTTAGTTTATTGTCTAACTATGTTTGTGATAATGGGATGTATTTGGTTTGTACACACATCTTTGTGTTCAGAAAATGTGTTGGTAATTTTTACGCTCTTTCAGCAACTATTGCTAAGTGAATTCTGTATTAGCACATTTGTTTGAAAATATTGCTGATCAAACATATGTTTTGCATTACATTACAAAGAATGCAATTTTATAACTGCCAGTATAATGTGATTTTGTGCAATTTACTTGTAACGTGAACATGATTTGTATAACTAGGTATTTTTTTTATTTCCATGCCTGTTTCCATTGTGTTACTATGTTCATTTGGTGAACACCATGAAACCATCTTTTCTCTAACTTGTTATAATCTGCCAAAAACCTGGTTATGGCTTCTAAAGATTGCAAAATGAGGGTAACGTAGCTTTCACAGGTGCTTTCTATTCAAAGAAAGAATTCAACTTTAGAGTAAAAGTCATAAGAAAAGGTCCATCTATGCAGCCAAGGTGCCCCTTAAAATCAGCACAATGAACAACGTGTATCTTTTTCTTGTACTTAAAAGATATCTAAACTGAAGAACAAAAATGTAATACATTGCAGCTTGCTAGTTTTTAAATGTGTTGGCTGCAGTAGTTCAGTTTTTGAGGCTAAGAACATTTTCACCCAAGTACAGAAAATACCCTTTGACCATGCCAGAAATGCAGTGCCCCTGTCACTTCCTGTGAATTGAACTGCAATTGCAAACAATCTTATCTTCCTTTTGTATTTCAATGGTTTTTATTAATTTATAAACATTTCAAGAAAACGTGAGCAACAAGACACGGCCATGCAGGGGCTGTCAATTGCTCTAACACCATTATCTTCCTTTTAAGCATGGTTTCTTTCATAAACTACAACCCCCACCTCCTTCCCCATGCAAGAAGGGAGATGTGATTGCAGTTAAAATTGTAAGAGAAACCTGGGTGACAACCAGGGATCCCTTCTTGGATCCATAGATACAATGATGAAGTGAGCGTAGCCATGCTAGGACAGGAAGTGTATTTTTCACAAGGTGAAAATATTGGGGGGAGAAGGGAGATGTGTAGGAAATTTGATATGTTTGTAGGTAAAATTGTGAGAGCAACCTGGGTGACAACCACAGCTCCCTTAATAGATCCATAGATACAATGAAGAAGTGAGCATAGCCACCATAGGACAGGAGTGCTTTTTTCACAGGATGAAATAAACAGGGGGAAAAGCTTCAATAAAATGAGACTAATGAGCCAACACATCTAAGAACTACTAGGCTGCAATATATATATATTTTTTATTTTGGGTTTGTTTTAAAGGTATGTGCAGGTTACTTAGGACAGCCTTTTCAACCAGGGTATCCAGGCACTCTGGGGTGCCTGTAGGTTTCTTCAGGGGTGCCTTGGCAAAATGCCCAAAAATTGTATACAAGCCAGCAGGTGGATCAAGTGTGCCTTTTAATTACACAAAGCCACAGGTTTTCATTGTTCACCATTACAACTTTCTAGCCGCCAGTGACATGACGTCATGAGTTGATAAGGAGGATATTGGGCACCTGCAAAGCATCCTTACTTGCCCCTCCCCTGCCCCTCTCTTCATCCCTGGGGTCACATTAGCTGAGTGATGGTGAGAAACTGAGGGAGAAGAGAAACACAGGAATACTAGTCTGTACCAGTTTGCAAAGGTGTATTTACTTTGAAAGAATAAATCACCTCTGACATTGGGCATCCCACATGTGCAGATGTTGCTGTGTTCTGTAAAAAGATTTAGTTTTTCATATTTTGCAATGGGTGCCTCAAGATTGTGTAGAATTTTAATGAGTGCCTCGAGATTGTGCAGAATTTTAACGGGTGCCTTGACTGAAGACAGGTAGAGAAACACTGACTTAGGATACCTGATTTTAAGGAATAATATTGTTTAAAGCTTTTGTTGTAGCAGCTTTGTTGAGCAGCTTCATGGTGGGATAATGTAAAATCTAACAATATATTACAGGGCTATGATACAGTTTTTAAAGCCACATTTATTCACTGATGAAGCTCAAACCATGTCATTTTCCTTTCTTACCCACATAACATATGAGCCATTAACTAATGGACAGGACTCAGTGGAACAACAAAGTGATTAATAACAGAGAATGTCTGTAATGAACATTAATGTTTATGGTTCTCTCTTCTGGTAGATATTAAGAACAGAAATTACCACAGATATCTATTTATTAAAAAGGTTTAAATTCTGGTGAAGGTTTAGAACTTAGGCATTGTTTGCTGTCTGTGTCTTCACTAGGGAGATTCACGCTCTCTTTTTGTCCTGGTATCCATCCTCACCAGGAGATTTAAGCTGGCCATACACTAGTAGAATTTTATACAACCACCCCTCAAAATTTGTCGTCACTACAGAAGAAAACAAATGACAATTCGATTCCACTAACCATTAGAAAATCAAACAAATGTTCAGATAATGGATATTTTTGAATTATTGACATGACAGAAACAAGGGAAGTTTTTCAATGGGGACACTTGTTTCTGAGACTGCTGTCAAGGGGATTCCCCTTCCTTTGAAGAGAGATTTATTTTTACGTATTTCAACTGTGCATTTAGCCATTTTCATGGAGTTCCGTTTTAATTCCTGTTTCTACAATTATTGTTGATTGTACAGAATTGTTGACTGATAAGTATTCAAGTATATTTGAAAAGTAATTGAAAGACATTATAAGCAAAAGTGTTAATGGATTGTTAACAATTATGAGTGATTAAGGTCTGATTTATATATCCTTAAAGCAGCCTTTCTCTACTTTTTCAACACAGAGGAACCCTTGAAATAACTTTCTGGACTCTGGCAACCCCTGCTAAAAAGTACTATATCTACAACTCATGATATATTAGTGTGATGAGCAGTGGGCAAAATGGTGCTTATACTTGTGATTGTTGGGAAGAATTACCCCCTTACTGATAGCTGAAAATATCAATGGTGTCAGTGGGAACACAACTGATCTCAGAGGTAGACATTGCTGATTGCTCAAGGAACCCCTAGCAAGGTCTGGAGGAACCCTAGGGTTCCATGGAGCCATGGTTGAGAAACCCTGCCTTAAAGTAATGCACATTTAGTGTATATCTAAAGGCTCATGTGTAGTATTCTTAAAGTGGAAGTAAACCAAATTTTGTATCTATTACCTATAGGTAATATAGGTAAAAAGGCTTACCTGTAGGTACTGTAAATATCTCTTAAAGGTGCACTATTTAGGAGATATTTACTGTTGAAGAGTCGGTGACGTCACTGCACTGCGCTCTCGATGGACGCCATGCCATCCTTTGAAAGAGCCGTGCTGTGGCTCTTAACTTGTATGGAGAAGATTTTTTTTTGCTCTTTACTACTCTTTTAACAGGCCCCAGGTACCATGTAATGCAAGAGGCCTGTAATTTAACTTACTTTACCTTACTTTGAGTCAGTTAAATCCTTATTTATTTGTGTCTCACACTCTCCCCCTCTCAGACCCTAAAGTTCACAGTGGGTGAGGGGGCAGTGTTAAAGTCAGTTCTACCAGTTCAGAAAGTAGTGAGCAGGACTAGTTGTGGCCAACTGCTCAATGACAAGTTACAAGCTTGGGAATCAGCAGTGACTATGCTAATAGTTATGCCTTCTGCCTCCCCAACATCTTCACCTTCCACTTTGGGGCAAGCAGCCATAGCAGGATGATGCTGCTTTGAATTCAGTAGCAGTGCAGCAGCGTTGTCCCTCCCTATTACAGGAAACTGCATTTGCTAACAGGATCAACAAGTATACTTTGCAGGGGGATATAGGGAAAACAATAAGTACAGATGCATTTGCAATTAACTGTTACATTTCATATTTTTTGGATGAACGGTCATAGTTCTACTTTAAGAGCATTAGCTCTAATAACAATGTGGAGATCAATACAAAAATGAAGTAGTTAAAGTATAAGTAAAGGTAAAAAAACTTTTTTTTAAGTTTTGGATAGAGTGGAGAGGGACAAGAACACCTGTCAGTTTTTATTGCTGTCTGTGTCCCCGTTAGACAGATTCTCTCTAATTTTGTCCTGTTTACCATTATCATTGAAAGTGAAAGTAAAAGACAATCCCAAATTTTAGGTTGTCCCCAGAAAAGTAATAGAGGCAAAATCTTCTAATTGGGACACTAGTTCTGGTGTCCCCAAGAGATTAATTTGCAGGGATCTCCTCTCACGTCCTGTTTGGCTATGCAACGAGAAGCAAAGGGAAAGCTCCCAAAATGGGACACAGATGGCAAAAAATAAACCTTACAGGGGTTATAGTCCTCCCTTACTCTATCCAAAATGAAAAAAGTTTTGCTTATAGTTCTACTTTAAAAGATTTTTCTCACTTAAATGGCCACTACGTCTAAAACAAACATAGAAATAAAATAGTTTTCCAAATTTAATTGACCTTAATCTATTTGAAACTAATTACCATTTACTGTGTAACTGTTTCTATTTCTGTCCTATTCCTAACATATATCTGTATTTTTAAATCTTTTGATATAAGCTATCATATGTTTTAGTTTTAGTGGCCTTTGAGGTACTAATTACTCATAACAATCACTTTATTTAAGTGCTGTGTCACAGTACTGAAAGCTGGACTAACTTGTATTAAACAAGCCAATTAAACCAACTGTAACCACAAATAATGAAATAAACAGATATATTTTTGAACCCAGTGAAAACAGTGATCAGAGGTGGCAGGATGTCTTTGCCCTTCTACCAAAAACGCCATCAGCATTATGACCGTGGTTACCGCAGCACCGAATTAAAGGGCACCTTAAGCCAGTACCAGCATGAAGAGAAGCACCACTCTGCTGCCCACAGCAGCCATCTTGGGTAATGATATGACCATCTTTGCAGGTTGAATCTGCTAATCATTTCCATTGTATCTGTTTACTAATCCACCTCAATAAACTTACCATATGAATTTCAAACTCTATTGTGTGGTCTAATATATTATGCAATTCTTTTCCCCATCACTTTTCTACATCTGGTATTTGTTCTTTTACAGTATCATGAAAATCTTTTTGTCAGTGTTTTTTTATTTGCATTTTGACTCAAATAATAATTTTCTCAACATCTATATTAACCATGTTCTCCTATCACTCTAATAACTGTTCTTTTCATCTGTTTTACTTTATTCTTCATGATGTAACTCAACCTTTCTTTCATTTTGTTTGTGTAAGGGTAATTGTAATTGGCTTACCTTTGAGAAGTAAAGCTTCCAAGTTTGAATATCACTTGTAGCGACTGGGCCATTTGGAACACCTAAGTTCTAGTTATTGCCCAGGGAAATTTTCCAATTAGCTGGAAAAGTTCCCTTTGTGCAGTGTTTGCTTCTCCCTCTTGTGTGGACACAATGGAGGGGTCCGATGACCATTTTTATGCATTTGTCACATCAGGTGAGACTTCAGCAGGTCAAAGTAGTTCAAAGATGGGCTTCTATCTCTCTTTGTTGCCTGGGAGCTAGGTGCCCATCTCTATGCTCTGTAAAATAAGCTGAGAAAATCAGCTTTATCAGCAGTATTTACTATTGGTCTTGCACAGTTAATGCTAAACAGAATTTTGACTATTTAGTTTTTGTCCTGAGAATAACATGAAGGCTGACTTGTCATTCTGCCAATGCTAGATACCTTAATGTCAAGGGCTGCCTTGTGTGTCATTCTTGCATGGCCCTAAGTAAAGCTATTGGGACATCTTAATAGCAAGACAACTAGCATTTTCAGATGGAATGTAAAGTCTATTTAACACAAATGTTCACAATTATGTACTGCATTGCTATCTATATCTATCTATCTATCTATCTATCTATCTATCTATCTATCTATCTATCTATCTATGTCTATCTATCTATTCCATATGCTAATTAGAAACAACATTATCAACATAAATAAAAAAATGTTGTGCAAACATAATGGAGCAAAATGGATACAAAACTTTGTTTAAAACCATGACTGTGTTCCCGTCCTACCTTACAACAACAGAAAGATGATGTTTGGCTTTAAATCTATTTCAGTTTTTATGTTACATAATACTATTTCTACCAGGCTACACAAGGTTTTTTAAGCAGAACATGATTTGCATGATTAGATGCATGATTTACCACTCTAGAACAGATAAGTGAAATACAATAGTGTGCTCATGTGAGGTTGGTAAAGTGAATTATGATTGGTTGCTGTGGGTTTTTGTACTTTGAGTTACCCTATAGTTGTAAAATAATATTAGATTAGATACAGTCATTTAGCCTATATGCCATATGTTCTAACAGAGGGCATCTAGTATGATTAGAAGATAAATGTATTCATATGCTGGTAGCTCTATCTAATTTACCCTATACTGATGACAAATTTGCAGAGTGCTTACCAAACTGCACACATTTGGGCTGATTTACTAAAGTTGTGCGAATATTAAATTAAATTTTTCATTCATGTAAAAAAAAAGCAAAAAATAAGATTTGCTATGTTATAGAGAATATCTAGGTAGCCAGGTGGACAGAGGAAAGGATGCAGCCAGGTGGAGGGGAGGACAGAGCCAGGTGGAAAGAGGAGAGAGTGGATGCAGCCATGTGGAGGGGTGGGGCGGAGCCAAGTAGTCAGAGGAGAAAGAGGATGCAGCCAGGTGGAGGGGAGGACAGAGCCAGGTGGACAGAGGAGAGAAGAGGATGCAGCCAGGTGGAGGGGAGGACAGAGCCAGGTGGACAGAGGAGAGAAGGGGATGCAGCCAGGTGGAGGGGAGGACAGAGCCAGGTGGACAGAGGAGAGAAGGGGATGCAGCCAGGTGGAGGGAATTACGGAGCCAGGAGGACAGAGGAGAGAAGGGGATGCAGCTAGGTGGAGGGGAGGATGGAGCCAGGTGGACAGAGGAGAGAAGGGGATGCAGCCATGTGGAGGGGAGGACGGAGCAAGGTAGACAGAGGAAAGAAGAAGATGCAGTCAGGTGGAGGGGAGGATGAAGCCAGGTGGACAGAGGAAAGAAGGGGATACATAAATATAAAATTCAAAGTGTCAAATGAGAACACAGCACAGGGCATTATTCCTGCTTTGGACCAACTACAGTTTCTTTACTAAACATTTGAACATGGGAAACATTTTTGGGGTAGGTGTGGCTTTGATAGCATGAGTACATAACATATGGATTTTGGATGACATTTGGGAGCAGTATAGAAAGTGCTGTCTCTTTTCAATAGACAATTGTCAGGAGCTTGCCATGATAGTTCATTAGGTTTGCTCAAAAAAGTGGTGCAAGAGCAATAATGACATACTGTGCATTAACCCATAGGTACAGTATCTGTCATTTGTTGCATTAAACTAAACTGAGGTCTGACTGAGATCTGATAGTTTGCTGAAATGAAATCTGCTACTGTTTTCATTACACCAGACTGAGTGCTAAAGGCTGCTGGACTTTGCATATGCTTTGACTGCCTTTTATTAACAGGAGTTATCTGCTGTTCTTGTAAATCTTCCCATTCTATGTTGTGTAACAACATTATGTTGCATTTTCTGCAGAATCCAATCATCATACAAGACTACAGAAGATAAGTCACTTAAGATGAGTCCTAGAGCAAAGCGATCTAAGCTCTATGCACCAGATAGAGAGAATGAAGTTACAGACTACATGGTTCCTGTGTTCAGAGGACGGTGTGTATGCTTTATGGTTATTCTTGTGTTCAGTTATTCAATCCCAATGACTTTTACATCACACCTGTTCTGGAAAGTTTCCTTTGACTGTCACCCTATGACACGTACAATGTCAGCAAAGAGAAATTCTACATTCTCTTATTGTCCAACTGAAATGAGGTTATGTTACAGGGCATGTCTTTTTCCAGTAGCTTCAGGAGGCATGGATACCTACATGACACTATAATACTTTATAATGAATAAATTGCTGATTTTCTGGTTTCTGATTATATCAAAAAAGTTATTTCTATTTTGTTTTTTAGAATCTATAAAGAGTAGTGACATTTTTTATAACTAAATTAAGAGATAGCTGTAAAGGGTAAGAGAAAATAACTAATTAACACAAGAGTAGGGAGGAATAGGATCATAATGAGAAGATGTACAGCAGGTCTTCACAAGTTGTCTGTGGATCTTCATTTGGGAACCTAGATGTTGGACTATATTTGAAATATATCACTACTGAGCCAATGCCCAGGTCATTTCTTATTTTGTCTCTTTACACTGGTAACCTGTGAGCATTAGTGACTAAATTCAGCAAGAAAACTGTAGGGGTAAGTGTGCACAGGGGGTGTTAAGAAGAGTCAGAAGGTAAAGTATAATTCAGGAAACATGAACCCATCTCTCATTTATATTGAATGTTGGTTAGTACAGTTATTTTAAAGCCCTGTATATAGAGCAGAGAGGAAGCTGCCCCCTTTTGTGAATTTTAGCAATAGCTTTTAGTAAAATAATCACTTGGTACAAGGGGTAGAACTTGTCTATAGGGGTGTCATGGCTCAGGTGTGCATGGGTCAGCATGACCTATAAAGGTGGCTCTGTCTAGTGGATACATCTACCTAAGACACTTCACAATTGAAGTGCTTTTATGTTTTCTAATCAAAGAAAATATGAGTGGTTGTCTGAGTTGGGTTTAATTTCATCCCTAAGCTTTGGGCTGCAGCAGATGTAGCTCATCAGTAACCTCCCCAGATGTGGGGTCTTTTAGGCCACATGGGGCGGATCCATCAGTGGATCCGCTTGCTCAGTGGACACAGACATAGCTCTCTGTTCTCTATGGGCGGTCAGATAGAAACAGACCGCCTGTCCCTTTCCACCTGACTGTCATCCGATCCGATCCACTGGATGGAAGGGAAATGGATCCCCATCCGGCTCTTTTTGCTGGATTGGATTGAATGCTGGCGGGTGTAAACGGATACATGTCGGTTTACACCCACCTCTCCATAGAGGAGAATAGAGGTTCCGATCGAGTCCGCCTAAAAAACAGGCAGGCGGACCCGATCAGAATGTCTGTGTGAAAGGTGCCTTAGAGACAAGAAGATTGGAGTGAAGGAACAAAGAAAGAGAAAATGTGTAGTAGGCAGAGTGTGAATCCACAATGGACATGAGCAGTGATTCATACTGTTAGGAATTTTTTTTAATTCCTAAAATTTAAGCTTAAGATAATCAAAGGGTTAGTTCACCTTTACCAAAAACTGCCTATGCAGATAATGGGTGTCTGTAGATAAAAACAAACTGTGCAGCTGTGACCATAGTTGAATAATGCCGTTGCTATAGGTGTAGGCCATTTATGTACTGTACCTCCTGAAGCCTGACTTGAAAACTCCTATGACATTGCTAAGAGAAGCCTGACTTTTATTGTTCACCTTCACCATCTCAGGAGCAAGCTCTCAAATACTAAGCTCTGAGCTACTGCATCAGGAGAAAGCGTATATGAAGGGATTGAATCAGAGAAAGAGCTCAATGTCCTTAGCAACGTTCTAGTTTTTCAGTCAGACTTCATGAGGTACATAACTTATCTGCACAGCTTGTCCCTTACCTGCATAGGCAGTTTTTTTGGTAAGGGTGAACTATGCCTTTAAACATGATAGCATTCATAACAGCGTGAGGACCATTCTGAGTGCAGTTCATAGCTGTGCATAGCTTGGTCCTCCAAACTGCATAATGTTACATTGTCAAAACAATGACAGAAACCCTGCAAGAAACTGTTTTTATGATTTTTCAGTTCTTTTTTTTTGCTTTTATCATCATTATTCCCATTATATGGAGCCACATTTTATTCAATGCTTTAAAGTATACAGCAAACATGTTATCAATATAGGACAAATATTGTGTAAGATAACAAGAACTAAGTGTATTAACAAGCCAATAGTAAAAAAGAATTGCCAAAAAATAATACCATACAATGTTTGTATTTAATACAGACACGAGCATGTAAGTGGAATTACAGACACAGAGGAAGAAAGAATCAAAGAGACAGCTGGATATGTCGCTCGAAGGAACCTTTTTGCTGCTGAAGAAGGCATTAGTGTGTCCAAAAAATCTTCCTCTTCTTCTTCTTCATTATTATCATCTGCACATTCTGAGGCCTACCATAAGAAATCCAGAAATGTCTCTATACGTGAAAAAGCAGAACTCCTCTCACTCAAGAAAACGGTAAAAAATAATAAGTATACATGTAGCACTGTAAGAAAAATAAAACCAAGTGCCTTGCCTTAACAGGCCTTCAATAGAAATTAAATGAAACCTTAACCTAATCCCAAAACTTATGAAATATTGTCATAATACGTGTTAGCTGCCCCCTTAAAGTGTAGATACACTCCAAAATGCTATAAGATACAAAAAGGTCCAGTACACACATATACCAAGAAGTGTTTTCTATCAATAACACAAACAAATATTATAATCAATAAATGAAAGTCCCACACCATATAGTGTGCAAACAAGTCCTCCTGGTGCTTCAGAAAATCACCCCGGCGATTGGAACACACTCTGGCTCTATAGTGCAGAGCAGCGGCGACACATTACAGCTGAGTGTATTAGTGCTCAGATATTGGGCACTGGATCATGTGAGTGCATACTTGTTTTCACATTGCTTTATTTTAATAAAACTAATACACTATGAGATTTATCTCCTTTGGTATATGATGATTCGCTGCTGAGGGATATGGTCATATTGGGATGATATCTGGAAATACAGAGGAGAAACCCACCGGGATTTAAAGCCCTGGGCATTCAAGCACTTTTTACCTTCTTTTAATTAAAGGGTCATGGATGGTCAGTGAGTGCATTAGTAGTAGCACAAGGTGATGGAGCACATAGAGAAATTGCATGAAGATTTTTGTTCGCACAATATATGGTAGGGACTTTCATTTATTGATTATAATATTTGTTTGTGTTATTGATACATAGCATTTTTTAGTATATGTGTGCACCAGACCTTTTTTGTATCTTAATACATGTAGCACTACCCCCTTAGGGGCCACTGAGTTTGATTTGGGTCCCACTTTGCTCTGAATGGCCAGGCAACACGTACAGTATGTTCACACATTTCACACTGGAGTGAAGGAACAGTGCTTGAGCTAGGGGTCTAGGGGTATGTACAAAATGCGGTTAGCAACAGTCTCCTCTTAGAAATTGAGCACTAAAGGCCCTCTGGTGTACCTCCACAAACCCCGGATGATTCCTCCTCTTCACTCAGATACCTGAGGGTATCCCTGGGAAAGGGGGCCCAAGAGCTGTTAAATTAGAAACAGTCCCAGATGAAAAGCTAGCTGGGTCTTGCAGCCCTCTCCCCTTATTTGGCCCAGGGGGTGTAAGAGTACTTACACTGTCCTCTCCTGTTAGCTTGGTGAGTTGGTGGCTGCCTTCAGGCCTTAAGCTGGTCCGGCTCCTTCCCTGGGAGACTTTGTGGCAGTGGAGATCTTCTTTTCCAGCGACCTGCCTGTAGGTGGGCTCACCCCCCTGGGGCCCCCTCCCCAGGGTCTGCTACATTTGAGGGTTACCTCCTGCCAGGGAATTGGCCATTGTTCCTCAAACATGCAGATCTGGGCCTCCTCCCCTCTCTTCCACCTCTACTCCAGAAAGCTCTCAGGTTTCTGGAAAGGTGGAAAGGCTCCAGAAGTCCTGATCTGATCTGATAGAGCCTTCTCGTTTGTCCTGAGGTGAACTCCTGTCTCACTCACAGACTGACTCATCCCAGGCTGCTACTCAGTCTGTACCTAACAAAAAAAACTATTTAACATACTTGGAGAGAGTTACATCCATATAACACTGATTAAAACCAACCTTAGCCCAGACTTTATTATAGATTTGGTAACCCTTTGGAAGCGCAAATACTTCTGTCACGTTGTTATTGCTGTTCTTCATGCTGTTAGGGAGTTTTAATCTCACTTCCTCTCCCTCTGGCAGCCTGTGACAATAGGACAAGAAATGAGAGACATATTTGTTACCAAGGCTGGATTCACATAGTCATTAGAACCTCATAGAATTTCTGTTCTTTCCCTGATGTACTCATAAAGGAGTTTTTTTGCAAGCTGTGCTCCAATTGGAGAGATTTCTTATCACTTCCTGTCATGGGCATTTATTCCTCATGCACACTGGATGGTTTTTACAGCTGCTGTTTTTGACTTTTGATGTTTTTTTCTACAGCCAGTAAACTCCCCAGCATGTTATCCTATGTGATGTGTCCATGCACACATAGACTGTAATCAACGTTTTTTGGCAGGGGCGTTTTTTGGCTGGAAAAAAACCCAGAACTAGTGGGTATCTAATGGACTATTTTTGCTGTAAAATATTCTAATGCTGAAAAACGCGGTAAATCACGGCAAACCAGTGGTTTTTTTGGACTTTGGTAAAAAAAACACTAAAAAAAGTGAAAAAACTCAAACGTGAAAAAAACGCAGCAAAACGCTAATACAAAAACGAAAAAAATGCTTAAAAACTCACGTTTTTAACATGACTTTACACAGCTAATGTTTCCAGTGTTATTAAAATGCCCAGTGTGCATGGAGCCTGGGGGGAAATGTCTCCAAAAGATCACAGACTGATAGAGTTTCCATCCTTACTCCTACCCCCAAAAAAATTTGGACTGGGGCTTTTTATAACATGTTTTGATTAATGTGAAAGCTTAACTGCAACCACTTTTGCTATTTACTTTTAGAGTAGGGAAATATACAGTATTTCAGTTTCTTATGTCTGTGACCCCATTGTAAAGATGTCTTTTCATTTCCTGTCCCTGTCACTCCAAGGGACTGTAATTGTCATCAGGATAGGAAGGCTTTGACATAAAATAGAGTATCTTTTTTTTTCATTTGTGTCCCTGTTGGAGAGATTTCCCATCATTCCTGTTCTAGCAGGAAGGAGAATCCCCCCAACAGTGACATAGACAACAATAAAAACTGACAAGAGGCTCTAACCCTTCCTTGCTCTACCCAAAAGGAAATACATTGTTTTGGCTGGAGTGGGACTAGTTTTGTCAGTAATGCTTAGATGTTGCTACCTTACTTATTAGGTTACATCTTTGAGCAGGAACCACAGCATTCACCTAGAAATGTTAAAACATGGCCAGACTTTTTTATATTTTATGCATAAACAATCAAAATGCTTACATGAAGCTGAAACATGATTTCCATTTGGATTTTATTGGCATATCAGATGAAATTTATTCCATTTCCCCTGACATAGCATTAGGGCTGTGACACACTATTGTTCTTATTACTACCAGCAAATTACCAACAGGAGGGGTCAGTAAAGAAACTACTCACATGATCCTATGGCGTTACTCTCACACTGGCCAAATTGCTTCAGAACTTTGCTCATCAGTGACTAAGCCGGGAAAATCAGATGCCTTGCTGGTTCACTAAGGAGCGTCTCCATAGCAGCAGGAGAGCGTTCTTACTACTCTTTTAGCTATCCTCCCACTATTGAGCTGCCACCAGCATCAGGTTTGGTTGAGTGGCATGGCCGTAAAGCTTCTCAATAACTATTTTCAGCATTGTGTTCATTCTTCCATATTTAAGACATCAGATATGTATAGCTTAGGTTTTATGGATTGCAGAGGCCAACACACATTTTGGTGTTTCGATTGTTAAACCTGTCCCTGGGAATATTTGACCCGATGATTCAAGAAAATGGCACCATATTTTCCCTATCAGCTCTAGTTTTTGAGACACAGCATACTGCAAATTCCATATACCACTCTTCACTCTGGTCACCTGTTAAAAATCAGGATATTTTAATGTAGTGTTTTATTTAATCTCCTTGTAGCATGAAAAAAAAACACGTAAAAAAGCAGCCATAACCTCTATGGTGTTCAGTCTGCAAAATGAAACGATATGAGTAGCAATATGCACTTAAATCCTATACAATCATACCTGTAGTACAGGTAATAACTTACACTTTATCCAGTGTTTCAGATGTAAAATGACAGTACACAAACACTCTCAATATATCTGCTAACTTGTACCCAAAAACACAAACTAGGTAAAAGAAGAACAAGCTGAGTAGTTCAGCAAGACCTTTTCAAAAACTGACTAAACAATTATATAATTTGACCATATCCAAGAAACTAGAGCTGATACAATATAGCCAATGCAATTTTCTGAATCAGCACCCCAAACAACCCCAAGAACAGGTCTAAAATGCAAAGCACCAAAAAAAAGAAAGATTTTTTTTGTTGGGCTGTGTTATGGGTGGGTAGAAAACTAGACATAAACATATCAGTATGTCTCAAGATTTGCTAAATTGATGGGCAGGTCAAACTTTTATGTAAAATGCTGGAATTAAAAATAACACTTTCAGAGACCTGGCCAGGGAATTGGCCATTGTTCCTCAAACATGCAGATCTGGGCCTCCTCCCCTCTTCCACCTCTACTCCAGAAAGCTCTCAGGTTTCTGGAAAGGTGGAAAGGTTCCAGAAGTCCTGATCTGATAGAGCCTTCTCGTTTGTCCTGAGGTGAACTCCTGTCTCACTCACAGACTGACTCATCCCAGGCTGCTACTCAGTCTGTACCTAACAAAAAAAACTATTTAACATACTTGGAGAGAGTTACATCCATATAACACTGATTAAAACCAACCTTAGCCCAGACTTTATTATAGATTTGGTAACCCTTTGGAAGCGCAAATACTTCTGTCACGTTGTTATTGCTGTTCTTCATGCTGTTAGGGAGTTTTAATCTCACTTCCTCTCCCTCTGGCAGCCTGTGACAATAGGACAAGAAATGAGAGACATATTTGTTACCAAGGCTGGATTCACATAGTCATTAGAACCTCATAGAATTTCTGTTCTTTCCCTGATGTACTCATAAAGGAGTTTTTTTGCAAGCTGTGCTCCAATTGGAGAGATTTCTTATCACTTCCTGTCATGGGCATTTATTCCTCATGCACACTGGATGGTTTTACAGCTGCTGTTTTTGACTTTTGATGTTTTTTTTCTACAGCCAGTAAACTCCCCAGCATGTTATCCTATGTGATGTGTCCATGCACACATAGACTGTAATCAACGTTTTTTGGCAGGGGCGTTTTTTGGCTGGAAAAAAACCCAGAACTAGTGGGTATCTAATGGACTATTTTTGCTGTAAAATATTCTAATGCTGAAAAACGCGGTAAATCACGGCAAACCAGTGGTTTTTTTTGGACTTTGGTAAAAAAAA